ATTTATTCTTTTTTATTTGGTTTTAGGGCTTCTTTATTTACGGATTTGCTGCAGTTACCTCTGCTGCTGCAGTTCAATACACAAGGTACTGTTGCTGGGGTTGTTATGCTGCTGTCTTACCCCCCCGCATATATTATAGATCAGGCTGTCTGGGTGCGAGCAGCAAGAGCTCGATCGCAGCAGCAGTTTCGTGCTGCTGCTGCTGCTGCTGCTGCTGCTGTCATTCCCTTCCTTCTCTTTGTTGGCTTCACAGGCATTGTTGCTGCAGCAACTTTCGACAGACAAACAGCAGCAGCAGCAGCAGCAGCAGCAGCAGATGATACAGCAGCAGCAGCAGCAGCAGCAGCAGCAGAAGAAGCAATAGGCCGAGCCCCTTTATTTTCTCTATTTATACCGAGCAGCAACCTGCTGCTGTTTGCTGCTGTTCTTGCTGTTGTTTCTCTCCTCGCAATGAGTACTGCTGACGCCATACAAAACGCCTTACCCTGGATACTAGCGGCAGATATCTTCGGCCGCATCAGCAGCAGCAGCAGCAGCAGCAGCAGCAGCAGCAGCAGCAGCAGCGGGAGCAGCAGCAGCAGCAGCGGGAGCAGCAGCAGCAGCAGCAGCAGGAAGGCTTTGCGTATGTATCGTGTATGGGGTTTCGTGCTGCTGCAGGTGCCTTGTCTTTGTCTAGCAGCAACCTGGCGAGATAGTTTAGTTGTTTTGTTTTTGTTATCTAACTTTATAACTTCTGCTGTTTTGCCTCCTTTGCTGCTGGGTCTCCGCAGCAGCACAACAGCAGNTTATCTAACTTTATAACTTCTGCTGTTTTGCCTCCTTTGCTGCTGGGTCTCCGCAGCAGCACAACAGCAGCAGCAGCAGCAGCAGGCATGCTAGCTGGTGTTGCTGCTGTGCCTTTATGTGGTGTATGCTTCACGAGAGATGCTGCTGCTCTATATACTTGGTTTTCGGTTCCTTGGGGTGTAGCGCATGCAGCAACAGCAGCAACGTTTGCTGCTGTCCCTGTTGCTGCTGCTGCTGTCACCCTCGCTGTGTCTTGGGCCTTCCCTGCTGCACCAAAACAAACTGCTGCTCTTGCTGCTGCTCCTGCTGCTGCTGCTGCTCCTGCTGCTGCTGCTGCTCCTGCTGCTGCTGCTTCTGTTGCTGCTCCTGGGGGGGAGGGAGAAGAGGAGGCAGCAGCAGCAGCAGCTACTGCAGCAGGAGCAGCTGCAGCAGCAGCAACTGTCAAACTCAGGATACACCCCGACACACAGCAGCAGCAACAGCAGCAACAGCAGCAACAGCAGCAACAGCAACAGCAGCAGCAGCAGCAGCAGCAAGGAGACAGCAGATGGTCTACAGGGGACAAAGATGCTTCTGGCTTCGCCCTTACAAGCGCAGACTCATAAACACCAGCAGCAGCAGCAGCAGCAGCAGCACCAGCAGCAGCAGCAGCAGCAGCAGCAACAGCAACAGCAACAACAGCAAGAGCTGCAGCAGCAACAGCAACAGCAGCGATCAACACTAGCGGCAAAAAGTCGGCGCAGCTGGAGCAACAGCAGCAGCAGCAAATTCGGGAAGCAGCAGCAGCAGCAGCAGCAACTGCTGCTGCTGCTGCTGCTGCTGCAGCAATTGGGGGCTGCATGCATACCCTCAGTAGCCCCCCAGATGTAAGCTTTGTGTAGTCGCCTCAAGCAGCAGCAGCAGCAAAAGCGGGCAGCAGCAGCAGCAGCAGCAGCAACTGCTGCTGCTGCTGCTGCTGCTGCTGCTGCTGCTGCAGCAATGGGGGGCTGCATGCATACCTAGCCCCCAGATGTGAGCCTTGTGTAGTCGCCTGCAGCAGCAGCAGCAGCAAGCCGAGCAGCTGCAGCAACAGCAGCAGCTTGTGCTGCTGCTGCAGCGTGTATGTGTTTCCTTGATGCTGCTGTGGAAAGCAACAGCAGCAGCAGCAGCTGCTGCTGCTGCTGTGTATAGCAGCAGCAGCAGCAGCAGCAGCAGCTTGTGCTGATTTGCAGTGTATGTACACCCAAAGATGTATTGTCGGTCCCCCGAGGGACAGAGGGATTCTATTTAAGCATTGAAACAAAGATAAACTGCTGCTGCTGCTGCTGC